TAGAATCAAAATCATGGTTTTCAAAATACTTTTACAGTATATGAAGTAAATATCTAGAGGAGTTTATCTCGATTTGAGGAAAAGTGCTTTTAAAAAGCACTTTTCATACTTTCCAAACAGAGGGTGTTTGCCTTGATTGTCAAACTTCTTGATGGTAACCTAGGGTTCATGTTGAGAAAGAAGGTGCAGCAATTATGGGGGAAGTCTGGAAGTGTAGAATTAAATGATATAGGAAACGGGTATATGACAGCCACATTCGGAGACATGGATGATTACTTCTACGCTCTTGAAGGAGGGCCATGGATGATACAAAATAGCTACTTGACTGTGCAGACATGGAAAAGAAACTTCAAACCTTGGGATGAGAAGATCCAACGATTCGCTGTGTGGGTCCGATTACCAGGCCTTCCAGGGGATTACTACGATAGGAAATTTTTCTATCTCTTGGGAAATAAGATTGGCAGAGCTATAAGAGTTGACGAGATGACCCTCACAAAAGCCAGAACAATGTTTGCCAGAATGTGTGTGGAAATCGACTTGGATGCCCCTTTGCTTCCATCATACATCGTAGACGGGAACCATTTAAGGATTGAGTATGAAGGATTGCCGTCGATTTGTTTCTTTTGCAGAAGATTTGGACACAGCAAGGAGAGGTGCACACTGAATCATCACAATGAAAATCGAACGAAAAACAGCCAACACACCTCGCCGGTACGGATGACACAAGAAGGAAGACCGCCGGCCGAGCACCTTGAAAGAGAAGGCGCGAATGTCTATGGGGAGTGGATGATTGCGCAGAAACCGAGAAGAGGCAGAAAAGTAGGAGTAAAAGAAGGGAAGGGTCCGGAGAAGCAGTTCAGAAGTGGCAGAGGTGAGCCTGAAAAATCAGTAAAAGAATCCAGGTTTGCCATACTTGAGTCAGAAGAAGGATGGGGTAAAGAAATTGAATGGGAGACTAACATTAGGAGACCTTTAAGAGATATATCTAATAGGACGGCACAGCTTGGTGAAAGAAGCACAGACCGAGGTATAGGTAAAAAAAGGCAAGAAACCAAGAGTCAAAGAAGTGATGTGACGTTGAAGGGAAATAACGGAGAACAACAATGTAGAAGAGAAGGGAACGCAGGTAAGAAGAATCAGGGGGAAGGCACGTGCAGACAGTGCCAAAGTCATACTGGGCCGTCCAACATGAGGGATGAAGTGGGCCAAAAACTGGATTTGGATTTGAACAACAAGGGAGGCATGCACGAATTGGGCCAAGCAGGATTCGGCGGAGAAATAAGAAGAGACCGTGAACGGGCTGGAAAGGGAGCATAATTGATTGGGAATGGGCCGAAAGAGAATCTGGGGATGGATGGCGAAGATCACATGATGGATCACTCCTTGGAAGGCCTCCCAAGCCAAGTGCCGGACTCAATGGACCTGGAAGAAGGAAAGCCTCCAGACCCAAATCAGAATATCAACATGCCAAACACCCAAGAAGAGGAGAATCACATGGGAGCCACCCATCATGGAAGTAGCAATGGTGCACAGTATGTAGAAACCCAGAGATTGGGAAGCGAGAATTAAGGGGTAAGTTGCCGCTGATGTGTTCCTTAAGACTCCTTGTTTTAATGATTTTGACTTGGAATGTAAGGGGAGCAGCCAGTAGGGAATTTGGAATTGCTCTGAAAGAATTTAAGCGTAGATTTAAACCCAAAGTAACGGTGCTAGTGGAAATGAGATGTCATGGGGAAAAGGCAAAACAAGTAATCAGGAATCTGGGATACTCCTACCATGTAATGGTTGACGCACAGGGAATGTCCGGTGGTATTTGGATAATGTGGGATGAAGATGATATTCGAATAAGAGTAATCGAGAGTCAGAAACAATTCATACATTGTGAGATATCAGGCTTGGGGGGAAGGCCCTGGGCTTTCACTGCCATCTATGCAAGCCCAAGAGAAAGTGAAAGAAAAATCCTCTGGGAAAAGCTACATGTAATAGCTTCATGGAACCAAGGACCTTGGATGCTTGCGGGAGACTTCAATGACATCATGAATAGCAATGAACAAAGGGGAGGAGGAGATTTAAATATCAAAAAATGCACCAGGTTCCGCTCTAATGTAGAAAAATGCAACCTCATAGATCTGGGTTCTGAAGGGCCATGATTTACTTGGCGGGGCCCTATGACTACTCATGGCACCTGACTCTACAAAAGACTGGACAGAGCAATATGCAATGCTGAGTGGAGAACAAGATTTGGTGAGGCTTTTGTGAAGGTGGGTCCCAGATTCCAATCTGACCACCATCCTTTGTTGATTTATCTGACGGCTAATAAAGGAGAAAGAGCGAGAAGACCGTTTCGATTTGAAGCCATGTGGCTCTAACATGCAGAGTTCAGTAATATGCTGAGAGAGCTAGAAACAATCACCGAATCTGTGGGAGACTTTGAAGGGATTGGAAAATAGTTTGGCTGAATGGAATGTGAACACCTTCGGCCATATCAAAAAGATGAAAAGAGAGTTGTTAGGAAGGATTGCAGGAATACAGAAAAGTTTACACCAGCATTTCAGGCCCCACCTTGAAAGTCTAGAGGATAAATTAAGAGAGGAGCTGGAAGAAATCTTAAGAAGAGAAGAAATTATATGGTACTAGAAGGCTAGGACGAAGTGGCTTAATGACGGGGACAGAAACACAACCTATTATCACAGGAAAACAACCATCAGAAGGAGAAGAAATAAAATCACTACCTTGAAGGACGATAAAGGAGACTGGGTAGAAGGGAAGGAGGCTACGGGACACCTCATAAAGGCTTCCTTGCAGGAGCTATTCAAGGAAAATGAACAGGATAAAGCATGGCAGACACCTATACACACTTGGCCTGAGATAACCCAGGAAGATTGGGGGAAAATAAACGATGGAATTACTGATATAGATATCAAAGAAGCGATATTTTCCATTGGAGGTCTCAAAGCACCAGGGGAAGATGGCTATCCGGCTGTATTTTTTCAGAAGAACTGGGAGATAGTGGGGAAAAGTGTGTGTGACATGGTGAAGGAAATGTGGAGAGATCCAGAAAAGATAGCAGAAGGGAATAAGACCCTAGTTGTTTTAATTCCGAAAGTTGAAAAACCTGAGAAGGTAAGTCAACTGCAACCCATATCTCTGTGCAATGTGGTTTACAAATGTTTCTCAAAGATAATAGTGAAACGACTGAAAAGCATCATGGCCCGAATAATCTCCCCATTCCAGGTGAGCTTTGTACCGGGGAGGATAATCCACGACAATATCATTGTAGTGAACGAGATGATTCACTCAATGAGGAAGAAAAAAGGAAAAAAAGGCTTTATGGCAATAAAAGTTGATCTAGAGAAAGCATATGACAGAATTAGTTGGAGGTTTATGGAGAATGTGCTGAAAGAATTAAAAGCTCCAGAAGAAACGATAAGAAGGATCTTGGGGTGTATTACTTCTACAAGAACTCAGGTCTTATGGCATGGTAAAAAGATGGAAGAGTTTGTTCCCTCTAGAGGCCTAAGACAAGGGGATCCAATCTCCCCATACCTCTTTGTCATTGGAATGGAAAAGCTCACACACCTCATATTGGACAGAGTGAGAGAGAGAAAATGGAGAGGCATGAGTGCAGGCTGTTCAGGGCCAAATATTTCCCATATGATGTTCGCAGATGACTTAGTGCTATTTGCTGAAGCAACCACTAACCAAATTGATATCATTTTAGATGTTTGCAGGATTTCGGCTCAATGTCAGGTCACAGGGTAAGCAGTGAGAAAACACAGATCTTCTTCTCTCCGAACGTTCCCAATCACTTGCGAAGGGAGATCTGCAGGAAAAGTGGTTTCAGACAGGTTGAAGACCTAGGTCGTTATCTGGGAGCTGAAATATCGTTCCCCAGAAACCGAAAATCAAGATATGCCAGAGTGGTGGAAAGAGTCAAAGGCAAGCTGAATAGGTGGAAGGCGGAGAGTTTATTCCTAGCGGGTCGTATCACGCTGGTCAACTCGGTTACCAATACAATGGCCCTCTACACCATGCAACATGACAGAATTCCAAAAGGGGTTACCGAGGAAATAGAGAGAGTACAAAGAAACTTCATCTGGGGTGAGACAGAAGGGAAGAAAAATTGGCATGCAATAGCCTGGCCCACATTATGCAATCCCAAAGACAAGGGCGGAGTTGGAATTAAATCTTTGAATTTAATGAATGATGCGCTGCTGTTGAAGCTATTGTGGAGAATGAAGTGACAATCCAGATGAACTCTGGGTCAAAGTTTTAATGGGGAAATATCAAAGACAGAGTGTAACAAAAGACCATTTAACTGCGCTGCTGGGGGACTCAAGAATGTGGAAGGAGCTTATCAAACTCCAGGATACCTTTAAAGCCAACGTGGTTATGGAAAATACAAATGAGGGAGTGAAGCTACGATGGAAGCCAAACGGGAACAGAAGATTCTCCACAGCAAGTACCTACCGGGAATTGAACAATAGCTCGAGGATGCAGGCGGAAGGCAACTGGAAGAAAATATGGAAGCTTAAGGTGCCGGAAAGAATAAGAGTATTCATGTGGAGGGTTAAACATGAACGAATTCTGACAAGAATTTTAATGAGCAAATGGGATGACGGTTCAAACCAGTGCCAAATTTGTCAAAGTGCAACAGAAGATATACTGCACGCGCTCAGGGATTGTCCACACGCCAAGATAATTTGGAAGAAGCTGACACCGTGGTGTTGTAGGACCTGGATAGGCAGTACGGATTGCAATCAATGGCTAATGGGGAATCTTAACTATAGAGGAAAATCTGATCAAGAAAGTGCATGGCCGGAGCTGTTTGCAACAATAGCTTGGCACATCTGGAGATGGAGAAATAGATACCTACACAAATCAGAATGGGAAATGCCCAGGAATGCTGAAAAATATATAACAGAGTATCTGGAGTCTTATAGGACAAGGCAAGAGAAAAGCTTATGCGAGGAGGAGAGAGACACATAGACGCTAATAAGATGGGCACGACCACCGAATGGTTGGTGGAAGCTCAATTCAGATGGAGCAGCAACAAGAAGTGGACGAACAGGGTGTGGAGGACTTATAAGGGGAAGCGAAGGGGAATGGCTAGGAGGCTTCTCATGTGGACTAGAAGCACAAGACGCAACGACGGCAGAAGTGTGGGGAATCATAGAGGGACTTAAACTGTGCTGGAACCTGGGTTTTAGGAAGGTACAGGTTGAGACTGATGCCAAGGAGATCATAAACCAGATCAGAGAGAAAAAAGGTATAGAAGGAGACGACGTTCTAACCGATATTCTGCAAGAGCTAGTAAGGAGAGAATGGAGTCTTGAATTTAATCATACTTATCGGGAAGGAAATCACTGTGCTGATATGATGGCAAAGATGAGTTTATCCAGCTCACAAGTTTGGACCATGTGGGAAGCCCCTCCAAGCGGGATACTGAGAATCTTGCAGGAAGACGTTGAAGGAATTGGAGTACCGAGAGGCTTAAGACCCTAATCTCAGGGTCTCCTTGTATCACCAAAAAAAAAAAAACAGAGGGTGTTTGGATGAAACTAAACCATGATTTGGAAAATAGCTTCTGGAGAATAGATTTTGTGAAGAATAGATTTTATGAAAAAATGATTTTAATAAAATAAAAGTGTTTGGATAGTTGTTATCAGAAATACTTTTTAGTTTAAATTACCAAAAAGGACATAAATTAACATGATGATTACAAAGATCTAATTAATTAATTTGAATAGATTAAGAATATTAATTGAATTAGTTAGTATGATATATTTTTTTAAAATATCCTAAGCATCATTTTTTATTTCATTCCTTTCTCTCCTATTTGATTATTGTTGAGGGAATATAATAAGGTTAATTTGAAAAAAAATTAATAATCATATAAAATAGGTCTTATATTTAGGACCAACATTAACTTCCCACTTAAGTTCATAATAAACAATATATAACAAATATCATTAGTAAATTGTTAATATATATTTATAAAATATAAGATTAAATATGTTTTTAGAAAAATAGATATTCTTTCCTAACATAAAAATCAAGTATGGACGAAGGAGGACAGCTGCTCAAAATATAAAAAGAACAGGGGAGGAGAAAGAAGGAGAAAGGCGTCTGACACTACTCATCTAACACCCATAATAATTATCCCAAGCACCGGTTTTTAATGTCTAGAAGCAAAATACTCTTGCTTTTGCTAAAACCATGATTTAGGAGGGTAAAACCATGGTTTTAGCTCAAACCATGATTTTCCAACAAAATTTAGGGTGTTTGGATAGTTTTGGACCCAAACCATGTTTTCGAGTCTGAAAGTGCTTTTTGATGGTTTGCCAAACCATGGTTTTGAGTCTATAAAATTGATTTGATTCACATTCAAGTATGAAGTTTCTAAATTTTTTGTTAGATGCCTTAATTGAAACTAGCTTGATATAAGATTTCAAAGTTATGGTTCAAAGGTATTTTGGAGGTATTATGTAAAGGGTTTTAAGAAATGATTGAGAGACGTTAGAAATGAATTAATACATTGTGCAGTGATTTTCATGAACTGAAGAGATGGAGATATAAGGGAATAAAATAATAGTTACAAAATAGATATAATGGGAGGCTTTAGAGATTGAATGATGTTCAATTAGCTATGGAATATAAATGAATATTTTTCCAAACTAAAATAAGTTATGAGTTAGTATAATATATAAAAATAATATTTTTGACCCCTTATACTACTTTATATTTTGGTTCCCCCTGTTTGCACTTGCTACCCAAGAGGTGAGTAACTGTATAAACAGAAACATGACCACTCGAACTTTATTCATTTATTTCCATTAAATCTTAATTAAATGAAAACGTGCTCTTGTGAGAAAACAAAAAGGAAAAAAAAACGCGCTTTGGCTTCTTTAAATTTTGAGGAAATTAATCTTTTAATTCCTATGGTTCTGCCTCAATTGTGATTTAGTCCCTCAATTTTAGCTCAATGTAATTATGCCCCTAAACTTTAACTTAATTGTACATCAGTTCTTGAATTTTGACTTAATACAATTCAGTTTTTATAGATTTAACTATTTAAAATTTGTCTCTAAATTTCATAAAATATATAATTTATTTTTTAAAAATATGAGGACTAAAGTTTTAAACAATCAAAACTATATGGACTAAGTAGCGTCAAATTAAATTTTAAGGATTTAGCTATAACCGAATTAAATTAATGGAATTGAGTGGCATTGAGTTAAAGTTCTAAAAACCAAAAAATTAATTTTCTCTTAAATTTTTCAAAAGTCAACACTTAGGTGGTGGTGGTGGTGATTTGCCCGTGTTAAATAAACACACTTACACGCATAGGCTCTCTCTGTTCGTTCAAGTTATCTTCTTGGATCTTGGGGAAGACCCTCCCCGAACAAAACAAAAAGGGAGAATTGTCCTCCCATGGTCTCCTTAGTCCATTATATGATTAATTCATTTTTATGCACTAAAATTTCTCAAATTTTGTACTCAACATAAAATATTACTCCTCCGGTTCTAACTAGTATGAGGGCCTTATATTTAGAACTGGAGGAGTAATTATTGTTAAATACACTTACAAAAAATGAGAAACATAATCTTCCTAACCTTTATATAATAACAAGAATATAATAATATACTCGAACTTTTTTCTCTCTAATTCTTATCTGCATACAATGCCTTGTGGTATTTTAAAATAAGACGAAAAGCATATAATGTTTAGTTTTTGAATTGTTTTTAAATTATCAATTTAGTCTTCAAACTTTACTCAAAATTATGTAATCCCTGTAATTGATGCACCAACAACAACTCACTCCTTATATTTTTAATTTAGAACAACTTAATTCGTGAAACTGCTTAGCTCTAAATTACAAGAATTAAGTTCTTATGAGTCAAGATTGAGGGAGTGGATTGATAATTGAAAGAAGTCAAAGGAATGGCTGAGACTTATAAGTTCACTTAGAGTAAAATAGAAATATAATAAGGTAAAAATAATACTAATTATTTGATGATAATAAACTTTATAGTGATAGAATGACTAGAACTTGCAACCAAACAAGACTTTGGCTTCTTCATAGCATGGCAACGAACTTGATTGTCGCAAGGAAAGCTCCCACGTGAAATGTAGATTTTTGTGTGAAAACGTTCTCATAAAAAGGACAGTGACTAAGTCCCCACCACCCGTTGAAATGTCAGCATATAGATGTTGATGGATCAGTTTGGCATCAAGGTAGGGCATTTTTACCCAAACCCTATAAACAGTAAAAAAAAATTTACCTCAATGTTATAAGATAAAAAGTATTTATCAAAATACTATATTAGAAATCATTCTTCAGAAGAACAGTTTTAAATTTTTGAAGAAGTCGTTCACTTGAAAAACAATTTCTTCATCGAACATTTTTTTCAAATAAAAAAAATAAAAATCATTCTGTAGAAGAACGATTTTAACGCCGACACTTTTTTCAGTGAAAATTATAACTAAAAACCCATATTATTAACTTTCCTAACTCCCTCTGTTTCATTCTGAATTTTGATGAGAATTACAATTGATGATCAAATTCCCTCAGCACATTCTTTTTTTCATTATTTTATTTTATTTTTTCTGGAAAACATGAAAAATATAAGTAAATTTTATAGGCAGATTATATCTTATCTTGATAATTAAATTTAAAATTAATATATAAAATAAACTAAATAGATGTAAAATCTACTTATACTCTCTTTGATCTCAATATAAATCATTTCAACTAATTTGTCATAATAAAAAATGACAGTCAAGTCAATAAATTTGTCTTAGAATGAAATTTTTTCAACTTTACCATGTTAATTGAGGTTTTGGAGGATGAAAAAAAATAAGGAGCCTTATTTAAATATTAATTCATTAGAACAAAAAATGACAGTTAACTCGTTAAATTTGTTTTGAATTAGCTTTATCATATGAAATAAGGTGTTGAAGGATGGAGGAAAAAAAATATAAAAAGACTAAGCATCAAATAAATGGCAAAATTGACAAATCAATATTTTGTAATGCATCCAATATCCTGAAGTATTTTTCTAAGGGAATCCATTAACTTGAAGTATTTTTTCGTACATCCAGCATCCTAAAATATTTTTTTAAAATGTATCTAGCACCACAAAATATTTTTTGGTGTATCCAGTACTAAGGCAAAAAAAATATTTTAAGGTGTTGGATGCACCTAAAAAATACTTCTAGATGCTAATCTTTTAAGGTGCCAGATGCACACAATAAAACATTTCGAGATGCTGGATGAACATTAACCCTAAAATCTATTTATATTTTTTTTCATGTTTTGCAGAAAATATAAAATAAAAAATGAAAAAAAAGTATGTGCCGAGGGGATTGGATCATCAATTGTAATTCTCATCAAAATTCAGAATGAAATAGAAGGAGATGACAAAGTTAATAATGTAGGTTTTTAGTTATAATTTTCACTAAAAAAAGTATCAATGTTAAAATCGTTCTTCTGTAGAACAATTTCAATTTTTTATTTAAAAAAAAGGCAGATGAAGAAATCGTTATTCACGTGAATAACTTCTTCAAAAATTTAAAATCATTCTTTTAAAGAACAATTTTTAATGCAGTATTTTGGTAAATACTTTCCATCTTATAGCATTTAGATAAATTCTTTTACTATTTATAAGATTTAGATAAAAATACCTCGAGGTAGTGGGCAACTGGCTTCTGGGTTTTCATCAAGCTATATATTAGGGAGTACTGCGTTTAGCCATAGAAGCGGAATTGAATGCTATTAAAGTCGGCCTTCAAAATTGTAATCAAAACCACTGTCATTAAAATAAGAGTTAAATACCTAATTTAAAGATATTAAGATTATTTGTTATAAATATGTATTGACGTCTTTAAATTATTTCATTTAATCATGTACATTGAAATACTTTTTAACGGGAACATTTTACGGTCAATAAGAATATTTTGGAAAAAATATAAGACAAAATAAATTGAGCTTTTATATTTAGGACCAAATCTAACTCTTCAGTTAATTCTAATATTAAGAAACAGGCAGTATACACTAACTCGTTAGAGGCCTTTCATCATCAGGGTAGATTAGAGATTTGTTATATGATCACTCGACTGTGGAGGTAGCATGAGATTATCAGATAGATGCGCTAATTACTTGGCTCGCGAAAGGCACAACGGTTCCAATGGTTGCTTGTATTAGGCATGTTTTTGGAAGATCAGTAATCCATTTGCTAAGGTTGTGTATAATTTCTAGCTTTTACTGCTAGTTTATTTTACTTTCTTCAAGCTTTTGCTTGCCTTTGTACTCAAAAAAGACCCTACCAACTATTAAATGTATATTTGGCTTCTTTGAAGTTTCCACTACTGCACAGAGAACGCCTGAGCTCATATTGTTGATGGGCACTGAGCACGGCAAGCTCGTCCGTTTGGGGATGAGATAACCACCTCCTTTTTTTTTTAATTTTTATTTATTTGGGTTAACATGTATTTGACACTCTAAAATGCTTTTCAGTAATTAATTAATTTTTAGTGTATTCTGAATAATTTTTTCAATTAGTGAGGCTACTAGAAAAATACTTTAGAGTGCTAAATACACTAACAATTAATTTATGATATGGGATACTATTTGAAGAATACTTTGGGATGCTGGATCCATTGAAAATTAATTTACAATACTGGGTGTTACTGAAAAATATTTCAGGATACTGAATGCACTAAACATTAACTAATTTAAGATATTGAGTGCTATTAAAAAATACTTTAGGATATTAGATTTGCTACAAAATAATTAATTTAGAATATGGGGTGCTACTAAAAAAATACTTCAATAAAAAATACTTCAATATGCTAGATTAACTAAAAAGTAATTAATTCAGAATACTAGATGTTACTAAAAAAAATGCTTTAGGATACTGAACATACTAAAAATTAATTAATTTATGATAATGAGTACTGCTAGAAAATATATTTTGAAATGTTAGATACAAATTAACCCAAATAAAAAAAATAAATTTAATTAAAAGAAAAGGAAAAAAAACAGGGGAGGCGGGCATCTCATCTCCTGTACTAGAGCCGGTAATATGGGTTAAGTATGTCGGTTCAACCTGCCAACTCGCCAACAAGTAGCGGGTTGGGTTGATAAAAATTGGGACCATTTTAAAATGGAAGTTTTGAGCCCCGTAACCATCAAGACCAAACCCGCGGTGGGGTTAGCAGGCCAGCTCGTTTAACTTTTTTTTTAAAAAAAAAAAATTTCCTTTGCCTCTTGGTCTCTACTCTCTAGTCTCTTGGTCCAAACTAGCAGTCCATTCAAAGCCTTTTGCAGTTCTGCCTCCCCAATCCCCATAACCTACTCTCTCTCATTTTTTTTTAAATTTTCAAATTGAAAAATCTGTCAAAACACGGCCACATCAGGCATCAACCACCAAGTGATTCAAGGAATCAACCTCCTATCCTACCTCCCCTCTTGCTTGCGTTTGGTAGTTCTCCTAGACTCCTAATCCCAAGCCCCAAGCTCCCCTTTTAATTTGAGATGTTTGTTAAATTATTAAGGATGTATCATGTTCATGATCATATGTTTACTATTTTGATCTATTTGAAAGTTGAAACTTGAAACTTTGGATTCCATATTTTATTTATGATAATTTATATTTGCATGTTTTATTTTAGGTATTTAGGAATTTGAGTATATTTTATTTTTAAAAAAATTTAAAAAATTACAAAATTTGGCGGGTTCGCAAGCCTAACTAGCTAACCCACCCTGGCAGGCAAAGTTGGAAAAATTCTAGCCCGTCAAAAAGCAGTCCTAAAAAGCCCAACCTGCCAAGCTTTAGGCCCGCCGCGGGCCAACCCATAACCGGCGGGTTGGCTCATATTACCAGCTCTACCCTCAACCTGCCAAAACCTACTATTTGGGGATGAGCATACCGTGCTCAAAGATTCGCTGAACACAACATGTGAACCGTATTATTGACTTGTTACGTATGATCCTACACACAAGGTTATTATTTACTTTGAGTTCGGATAAAAATTTGTTATAAAAGTTTTCACCGACAAATAGTAGATATCAAAATTTTTGTGTGCGCAAATTAGTCTATAAAATTTAAAATCGTAACAATATTACCTGTTATTATTAAAAATGTTAATGATTAACATTATTATTTTAATAGTTAATGTTAATTTTTTTAATTATGAAGGACAATATTATTACAGTTTTAAATTTTTATGATAAAATTTATATAAAAAAACTTGGGAGAATCCCAATTAAATCCAATTGAAATATCAAAATTCAAGTTAAGACCTACACTTTTGACAAATTGTTAATTAGGCCAAGAAGTTTTATTAGAAAATTTTTAATGTTGTTAAAAGACTAAAATGCCCCTTTAAGTTAGCAAATTGGTAATTGCACCAATTGATTTATGACCTAGTTTCTTCTTCTTCTTCTTTTTTGAGATGCCACCAGATGATGTATTAGCTTCATGTGTTCTTACGGTAGTGTCCATATGTTGTTAAAAGGCTAAAATGTATTTTTTTTATATAAATTTATATTAAGTAGTTCATATTATTTCATTTGTCGCATCAAATCTTGGAAAAATTATTTAGATTTCTAGTACAAGTTCATATTAATTATTAGTATAAATTTTAGTAATAAGATTATAAGATATAACATGATGAGAACATTACATGACAGATATAGCAAAGCAATTAAGAAAGAAATGACAAATTTGATGCTAAAATCTATTAATACATTAAGATTATGATTTTTTAACTATAAGGAAAAAATTTTCAAGAAATTATTAATTTAATGGAGTTGGAATCAAGTAACTAAAAGGTCCTTGTTCCCTTTACGGAAGAAAAAGTCCATGTTCCCATAAAATTCTTATCAATATATTAGAGTCAGTATAAAATGTTATATTATGCATTGTCAATTTTCTAATCTTAGTATTTTCAAATTTTCTTATGTAAGACCTTTTTTTTATAAATAAATACTATATAACGTCAAGTTTTCATGGTTTAATTTTTTTTTCAAAATAATATTATTTTAAATTATTTAAGGACATTTTAGTCTTTTGATAACATTCAAAAATCTCTAATAAGGCCTCTTGGCTTAATTAGAAATTGTTAAAAATGCAGGCCTTAATTTAAATTTTAATATTTTAAAAGGATTTAACTAGGATTCTCCCAAAAAACTTTCAGGTATCTCCCATTTCCATGTAAAAATTTACGGACCAAATTTTCATCTTCATCCATTTACTTTATATGAACGTACGGAAATTGACCCCTTGTTGCTGTCAGCAAGGAAAGCTTAACTGGCTTGGCTTTATCAATTGAATGAAAACGGTCATACGGCTTCTTTGAATTTATCAAAAGACAGATGATGAGCTGATATTTTAACTCATATAAATAAATACTTTGCGGCTCTATCAATCTGGAGAATATAGAAGCCTAACAACAGTAAAACTGTCGACAATTTTGTGTTGCAGTGAAATTCCACAAACTTGAAATTATTAAGAGAGACCACTAGAGATTCGTAGCCGAAATATAAGACACCAAAGTTTATTCAAAAAAGATTATATATAATGTTGCCCTAGCACAACAGAAGGCTTAGCATAGTATCCAGAGCCCAGAATACTCTTTTTATTTGCAACTCTGTAAATATAGTTTACGATCGTTTATTTAAATATAATAGTTTTTATAACCCGACCTGCGAATTCTCATTTTCATTAATTAGATCGCTGAGGAACCACCGCCGTTATTGATTTATCCCTCAATTGAATGAAAACGTACTGAGGATAGTTTGTTTCCATATAAATAACATCTCGTTCGTGTACTTAACTCTCTTGGTCCAGTCGCTCTTCTCGAGGAAGACATTTCTTTCCGTGCGTTCTATTGAAGTACATACTTTCAATACGAGACCTTTAAAATATAAAATATAAATCATCATCATTCATTCTAGGGTGTGACTTGTAGATCGTTGCGGTCCGTGTGTGTGTGTGTGTGTGAGAATATTACCCAATCTTATTTACAGAGTTCGTACTATATTGCTGAGGGCCACATAGTAAAATGGATTGAATCTAAGGGTGAAACTCAGTTATCACCATATATATGTGCGCCGCCCTATATAAAGGCATGCTCGTATCGATGACTAGTATATCACAAACTAAAAAAATAGAATGGCTCTCAGAGTTATTGCATTATCTTGTGTTGTCTTCCTTCTCTCACTCATAAGCTTCGCCGCAATGGCTACTTCTGTAAGTAATTGCTCTCTTGTATTCATCCATTATTTATTTTTTTCAATAAACAAATGTTTAGATGAGTTGGGGCAGGGTCAGGTTATAACTTTAAGGTTAAAGTACACTTTTAGTCCTTTAACTTTACACAAGGTTTTATTTTGGTCTTTTAACTTAAAAAGTAAACTTTTAGTCTTTTAACCCTAAAACTGTTAATAAAAAATGATGATATTAAGTTTTTAAATGCTGATAAAACAGTACTAAATGCTAATATATTATATTTAATATTCAAAACAATCATGATTGTTACGAAAAGTCATCATTTAAGACTAACAATTTTGGAGTTAAAGGACTAAAAGTATACTTTTTAAAGTTAAGAGACTAAATTGAAACTTTACATAAAGTTAAAGGACCAAATGTATACTTTAGCCTAACTTTAATCTCACGGAATTCTTACATAGAATCTTGCAAATCTTCCACCAACTAGTTCCTCATATGGGTTATGAGTCGCTTCTTAATTACCAACTGGAACGACCTCTGTTGGCTGATCCATTATTGGTTTCAAGCTTTTAGTCCTTCTGTTTTCATATCATGTGCATGCATGCAGGAGGAGAAGTGTACGTATATTGTGAGAGTTATGACAGGAGATGTCAAAGATGCAGCAACGGACTCCACCATCAGCCTCAACCTAAACAACTCTTCCGGCAAGGGCTTCACCGTCGACAACCTCGAAAACTGGGGCATAATGGAACCTGGTGACAACTACTTCACGCAGGGCCGCCTCGACGTCTTCAGCGGCACGGGCCCTTGTTTTAGTGTCTGCTCCATCACTGTCAACTCCGACGGGACAGGGAAATACCCAGGATGGTACTTGGATTGTGTGGAAATCGCCGTCATTGGATGCCACAAACGCACCAAGGCAGCGTTCTCCGTGAACCAGTGGCTGTTCGGTGGCGACGGATATCATCTCTATGCCACCGTCAACTTATACTCTGGCTTCTTTGTTTTGAGGCCCGCTCTTTCTTCCGTGTGACCAATCTTAGTATTACCTCTCTACCTTAATTATCTATAATTATAGTAAATAGGCATTGGGGTGGTAACATGCATCTGGCTTTTGTTGGTGTGTTGTGACGTGGTATGTAATGTTTTTCATGTCTCTCATTTCAATATTAATAAATAACCATTAAACAAATAAATTATCTACTACCTCTAGTCCTTAATATATAAGAGCTCATTTGACTTTGCTTTTGATCATAAATATAGGACCGCAATCCACTTTGTCTCTTATATAATAATGATAATTATAGCCAATATACTTAATTAGCAAGAAAATTTTAAGAAAGATAACACCTATTTATTAAAATAATTAACTTAACTAATTTTCTTAATCTACTCAAATTAGTTGATAAACTTTTATATTAAGGAGCGGAGGTAGTATAATTTTATACCTTTAAGTCTCATATGTAGGCTTTCTTTTTCGGTTTTCATCGTTAGTTTTATTTTGTTTCAGGAAATCACAATGATTAAAAAATAAATAAAAAAGGACTCTGTTCGGGTAGAGCGACCGTGAAATTACTATAAAATACAAATTCACAGCGGACCAGCACAGGGAGCCACATTATTCCTTTACCTTCGTCTCTTTACCATTACTGACATCTTAGATTCTTCTATGATGTATAAAAATTATTATATTGATAATACTTCAAAACGGTCATAAAAATCATAATTATTATCAAATACTAGTACACAATCAATTAACTATCCTATGATCATAAAAATACGTTTGGATAATCATCCTAAAACTCGTACTTAAAAGTAACATAAAAACTTGTTTGGGGCAATTATTCTTGAAATCAACTTGAAAAACTAATAGAAGGTGAGAGAGAGTGAAAAGTGCAACAACGATAGACAGTGTCACAGAGAATCGGAGGATTGATAAACGACACAAACTAGCACAAAAGACAAAGTGGGGAGTGTGGCACTGTGGCTGTGGTTGGGTGAACAGGAGAATGAAGGGGAAAAAAACCAAAACAAAAAAAAATAGAAAATAATAAATCATGTAAAAGTCGTTTTGAGTTCTTTTAAACAGATTTTTATTTTTATTTATAAAATACTTAATTAAGAATTAGCAACAATATTTGGTTTTTGAAGTTTTTTCTTAATTATGGATTTAGTCTTTCAACTTTATTTTGAAACTACTCATTTCCGGCAATATTTTGAATTAGAATGAGAATAATTCAGTCCTTCTATCTTTCAACTTGAAACAACTTAATTCATAGAATTATTTAACTCAATAAATTATAAGGGTTAAGTTGTTATGAATTAAAACTGTGGGATTGAGTTCATAAATGAAAAAAATTACTTAAAGGAATGACCGAGAGTTATTTGATAATCATAACAAATATTATACTAAGAGAATGACTAGGATTTGCAACGAAACAAGACTTGGCTCCTTGCAAATTTCATTGTCCTAAGGAAAGCTCCTATGAAATGTAGATTCTTGTGTTTTAGAAGATTTTGTAAAGGAGACTGTGAGGACTAAAAAATAAATTTCTTACAAATTTATTTTTAAAAAATAATTTTTTTCAAATTCATGAATCGCTTTCCACGTGAAACACATTAAGAGCAAAAAGTGGCAGGTCTAGTGCCACATATACCAAATAAAATATCACTGATGGACACTTTTTTTATTTTGCATGCTGCAGTGAAATTCCACAAACTGCTTCGTGGTGCACTAAACATTAAATAGAATAATTTTTATATTTAAAAACCAATTTAATGGACGCATTTAAGTTGAGAATAACGTTTTCATTGCCATCGTAAAAATCGCATCGCATTCTGGATATTCTTCTTTTTTAAATAAATATTTGGATATTATTTCACTCCAAGTGATATGTTCATAGTCATAGCCTTGGCGGTCATTAACACTCAAGACACATTATCACCACTTATTAACTGGTTGGCCACAATCAAACCTATTTTTTTTTTTTTTGGGTTGGGGGTAAAGAAGGCGGCCCAGGCACATGACAATACACGCTAATATATATCCTGGTTTAGAATGAAACTTGGAGGACTAACAAATCGAGGGACTCCCAGGTCGCAACTGAAACCCTCGTGGGCTAATATCTCAGCAACACTGTTCCCCTCCCGCTTACACTCTTTTCTGTCAATTAAAGACTTAATTAAAAAGGAAAAAAAAAGCACATAGATACCTCCAAAATGGTTTTTAAAATCTTTTAAGGCCCACTACAATTATTTTTTAATAATAAACCAATTTAAATTTCTTAGATGAGAATTCAAAGATATTATAATTCTCTCCTGGCCTCGAGCTTTACATACTATTCATCACCAAATCCAAAATATATAAATTAGGGTAATTAAATATATAATTTTATTTCTGATTTTAATTCTCAGGTGTAATTTTATCTATGATTTTTTTGATGGTGCAATTTACGCATAGTTTTTCTTTATTTTGCAATTTTATTCTTGATCATTGTATTTTTTTTTTTACCCCTAATCTTTGGTGAGGGTGAAATTGGATTAAAAAAAAGATTATGGATTAAATTGCATCACTAAAAAATCAGAAATAAAATATTGCACCTTTGCCCAATAAAATATTGAGAATAATACTTTGGCCGGCCCCACGAACGTGTCTCACAATATCCGGCATCCTCTATTTAATTGCGACTAATAACGGAACCTAAAAGTGCCCCTCCGACTCGGTTATCACCATCCATGTCACCCTATATATAAAGGCATATAAGTTATCTCTGTTATAAGTGTTAATCCTTCCGTCTAGAACTGTTAAAAGACGGCCTCAGACAACATTAGGACATGGTGAGTTTGCTGAAAAGCATCCACATGTTAAAGAAATATTGGACAAGTATTATTCTTTGACCCAAAAGAACTCTTGTGGTGTGGCCAATGAGTCTTTCTCCTCCGTAAGCATGTGGGCGAGGTATGATTCGGCATGAAATTGTAAACAATGAGGTTTTTGTTCTCCTCCTGCATATATAATCCTCTCAGACCTGATGGATTCTTTTGCATCACCCTTCCAAGATGGGAGAAGCTTTGGAAGTGATAGTGCATCAACATCGAACATGCGCGTAACTTGTCTGTTGTTTGGTTCAACTCCTCTTGGGTGGGATGGATTAGATGGAGGTAGGCCTCTCCCTTTTCAAGCCGGAGAATGATCCTGATGATAGCTGCGGTGACTTGGACGATGATAAGGATAATAATATATTCAGAGAGCCAGAAACCCTAATAGCAATGGTGGAAAGGAGAAATTTTACTTCATACTAAAATCACTCAAAGCATAAATGGCAGTCACATCAAAAACCCCAAGTGCTGGAGGCTAAAGGAACAGGGACGATCGGAAGACTGCTACGAACATTCACGGGATATGGTCACCATCATGGCCTCACACTTCAATGGCTGTTACGAGGCGTCTTTTGTGTTTTAACAGTTTTTAGACTGAGGGATTAATTCTTTTAACAGAAATAAGTTTAAGGATCTAATAAAAAAGAAAAAATTTAGAGGGACTTGATTAAAAACTGAATGAAACTATAAGGATTAGCCGATTACTTCTCCCTAAGTTGTTTCAGAACATAACATCACAAACTCAACAAATATAATAATGGCTATCGGATCATTTGCATTGTCTTGTCTTGTTTTTATACTCTCACTTATCAGCTTCGCTTCAATGGTCACATCTGTAAGTAATTTCTCTCTCTTCTTGATCCGTTAATGGCAACCTCGACGTCTTCAGTGGTCGGAACCCTTGTCTTAATTTTTGTGCCATAGCTGTCAGCTCCAATTGGCAAAGGGTTCAAGCCAGGGTGGTACATGGATTACGTGGAAATCACCATGGTTGGATCCGGCAAACCTTTCCCGACGAACCAGTGGCTGGCTCTCGACGAATGGCCCAACCCTCTCTGCGCCGACGTCGACTTATGCTATCGCCGCCGCAAGCCCTGAGGAAGTAACATACCGGTGTCTGTGTGTGTGTATATATGGCTTTTGCTGGCGTGTTGTGTGTTACGTAATGTTTGTAATGTCTCATTTTGAGTATTAATAATTATTACTTCTCTCGGCTAACTTATAAGTATAAATAGGCCTTGAGACAGTAATATATATCTGGCTTTTGCTGGTTTGCTGTGTTACGGAATGTTTGTTTGTCATGTGTCTCATTTGAATGCATTAGAGAAGTAATGCAATGTAATGGAAGTCTTTTAGAGGTGTGGACTTTAATTTAGCCCTCCTTACTTATTAAGATGTTGGAGTCTTGGACCAGCCAAGTTATTCAGAAAATCTGAATCAACATTCACACTGGGAATTAATTCAGTCATTAATAACCTTTACATATCTTTAGGTAACAATTGTGTGACCCCACAAAATTGTTCACGTACGGTTCTTTCAATTCAATCCAATTCCAAAACACAGCCTAACCGAGTCTAATTAAGGACAAACCAGTATAAACTAAATTCAATTCCGCATATAATGGATGGAAATGGACAATGAATGCTGGCGGGGCTCGTGGCCCAGATCAGGTTGGACTGAATCCCCCGTTTTCTGCTCCCTAAATCTGCAGATTCTTTTGCTCCTTCGTCATTTTGGTTATTAGCCTTCATTCACAATAGCTACTACCAGTATGATCCTTAGGTGCCATATTTTCTACTTTTTGTGATTATTGTTCTTCTTCTCCTAAGTGCATGTCGTGCACATATAAACTATAGAATAACATAATATCCTGTAATTATGAGAAAAAATATTTGGACAAATTATAGAAGTGATTAAATCTGTCCATTTAACAATTAATCCCCAACATCACTCCTTGAGACAATTTTTAATTGATATATTCTTTGGTCCCATTTGGTATGAAGTATTAAAAATGAGAATTAAGGGTCGATATTGGGATTGAAAAAAATCTATAAAGAGTATTTAGTGTAAGGGATTGTTTGTTATTTGGAATTGAACAAATTTATATACACAAGATTGGGGAATCCCGTGAGAGGAGGTGGTACATACATGGAT